AAAAAATGAAAATAAAAATAAAAATGTTATAATCCCTTTGGAGAGTATTTGGCAATAATCTACCAAAATTAAGAGTTACTTGTTCAGCTAATCCTCTAAGGAGAATAATATCCCTAACAGTATATCTGCCAATATATGAAACACTCACATGTAAAAACACATATATGTGTGTGTATATATATATATATTTATTTATTTATTTATTGTCAGTCATGGGGCTTGAACTCTGGGCCTGGGCGCTCTCCCTCACCTCTTCAGCTCAAGGAGAGTGCTCTACCTTGAGCCACAGCGCCACTTCTGGTTTTCTGGTGGTTTATTGGAGATAATAGTCTCATGGACTTTCCTACCTAGTCTGGCTTTAAACCAAGATCCTCAGATCTCAGCCTCCTGAATATCTAGGATTACAGGCGTGAGCCACCAACACCGGGCTTCATGTACACTGTTTATAAGGGAGAAACAAAGGCTCTGGTTAGCTTGCCTAGTCCTTTACTTCCTTATGTGGATCTTCACAGATTTCTTCTATATGACTACTTCAAGCAATGGAATGAACTTAAGAGTATTGAGTGTTGAGGGGGCACCCAGAGTAGAGTATTAGAGGATGTGTTTCTCATCCATTTATACAACAAATATTCACTGAGCATTTGCTGTATGTCAAGCTGTTTTGGGCCCTGAAGTGTCAGTGATTAAGCTAAATTTCTTGCCCTTAAGGGAAGACAGTGAACAAATAGGTCTCTAACATCAGCACTGTTTACTATAGCAAAAACTGGAAACAGTTCAGGTGTTTGTGTCAGAGCACCCATTTCTTATACACACATTGGTAAGGCCATACAATGAAGTATCATGTGGCAGCAAAATAAATAGGAAAGCTTTCACTGTGATCATACAAAATATCTTTAAGAAGCAAGATGATGTACAATGTATACTAAAAATTGAACTAAAACATTTCCTTCCTTGTTTGTGCTTAGAGAAAAACTGGAAAGCTAAAGAAGAATTTCTTATAGCTACTTGGGGTGGTAGGCTAAGGGTTAGATGCTGTTTTGTGTGTGTGTGTGTGTGTGTGTGTGTGTGTGTGTGTGTGTATGTGTGTGTATGTGTGTGTGAAAATACCATACCGAGGGGTTACAATTACATGGGCAAGTTAATGAGTACATTTCTTATCAAGCATTGTTGCCTCCTCCTTTGTTTCCCCTTCCCATCCCTTCCCATCTCCCGACCCCCCCCCATGGATGCTGTTTTATGACAAGAGTGGAAGCCTGATTATCAGTGCTTCACTTTGAATATAAGCTCTGTTTTCTGTGTGTGTGCGCGAGCGCGTGCGTGCACGCAGGCACTAGTCCCAGGGCTTGAGTTCAGGGCCTGGGTATTGTCCGAAGCGTTTTTGCTCAAGGCTGGCATTCTACCACTTGAGCCACGGCTTCACTTCCAGCTTTTTGCTGGTGAAGTAGAGATAAGAGTCTCATGGACTTTTCCTGGCTGGCTTCAAACCAAAACTCTCAGATCTCAGCCTCCTGCATAGCTATAAAGTTGTTTTTTTAAAACAAGACACTATGTTGAAAATGAACTATACTACTTGTAGGTGGAGATGGGAGGGAAAACCTGGGAAAGAGTGAGGGAAGGGGTGACATTGTCAAAAAAATGTACTATTTACCTGACTTAAGTAATTGTAACCCTTCTGTCAATCACCTTTATTTTTTTTTATTGTAAAGATACTATATAGAGGGTTACAGTTACATGAGTGAGGTAATGAGTACACTTCCTATTGAGCATTGTTACCCCCTCCTGTCAATCACCTTTATAATAAATCTTTTTAAACAATAAAAAAACACTTTATGTCTGTAGTAATAGTCTCTATAAACCTGTTTGTACCCAGGAGCAAAATACCTAGTTCTGATGATTGTATTCTATCCAAACTCAGGACTTGAAACCCCAAATGGGCCCTTGCTCATTCAGAAAGATGCTGGACACAACTGGTAACAAACGACCACTAACAGTCACAATAACATACTACTTCATGTCCACTAGTATGGCATAATAATTGCTTAAAAGCCTTAGAAAATCACGAGTCCTGGACAAGGAAGGGGAGATAATGGGAAATTCCTCCTGCTAGTGCTGGTGGTGGTTCCTTAGAAAGTTGAGAATAGAATCACTATTTGGCCCCTAATTCTACTTCTGAAAGCAGGTGTTGATACAACTTTGCAAATGAATATTTATAGTAGTCCTATTCACAATAGCTAGAAGATGGAGACAATCTAAGTGTCTACCAACTGATAATTTCAGCAACAAATGTATAGTTAAGCAATGGAATGTCAATAGAAACAGGTCCCTGTACATGCTACTTACTATGTGGATGCATCCCCCATATGTCATGCCGAGGGAAAGAAACCATACTCAAAGAGTCACATCTTCACTATGTTGAAAATAAACTATACGACTTGTGGATGGGATTGGAGGGAAAAACTGGGAGAGAGTAAGGGAAGGGGTGACATTGACCAAAAAGAAATGTACCTGACTTATATAACTGTAACCCCTCTGTACATCACCTTTATAATAACATTTTTTAAATTTCTCGTTGGTGTGATGAAGTTATATAACTAGATAGGAGCAGTGGCTACAGTTGTACCAAACACCACAGGATTGTACATGTGAAAGCAGTTTATGAATTTTACATCAAAGTTTTTTCCTGAATGTTTTATTCTATACCATCAATTCTGCATCATAGTTGTAATGTTTTTATATCCTCTTTGAGAATATAAGTTCTTGTCTCTGAAAACTCACTCTTTCTGGCTGCTTTGGGGGATATCTGACATTTATATTGTTTGTTTACCCTCATGAGAAGAACACAAATAGCCTAAGGGAAGTATGGATCACTTGATGGGTGAAATGCCAAGTGAAATGTCTCAATGACTCCTATGCTAAAAGCTTGATCCATGGTGTAGCACTATTAGGAGGTGGTGGAACCTTTAAGAGGTGAGGCCTAATGGGAGGTCACTGGGGGTGTGCCCTTGAAGGAGACAGTGGAACCTCAGCCCCTTTCCCTTCTTTTCTCTTATTCACTTGTGAATAGCTCTGCTATTTCACAAACTCCCCACCATAATGTGTTTACTTACTATGAGTCCCAAAACAATGGGGCCAACTGTCCATAGAGGGAAACCTCCATAACTATGAGCCAAAGTAAACCTCCTTTTATATTGTTTATTCAGGCATATGCTACAGCAAGCCTAACATGAACTATGAGATCCACTCTAACTATTTTGTGGGCTTTTTTATTTTTTTATTTGTCAGTCATGGGGCTTGAGCCACAGTGCCACTTCCGGTTTTCTGGTGGTTTATTAGTGATAAGAGTCTCACAGAGCCAGTGGCCATGGCTCACGCCTATAATTCTAGCTACTTAGGAAGCTGATATCTGAGGATCCCGGTTCAGAGCAAGCCTGGGCAAGAAAATCCCTGAGACTCTTATCTCCAATAAGCCACTAGAAAACCAGAAGTGGTGCTGTGGCTCAAGTGGTAGAGCGCTCGCCTTGAGCTGAAGAGCGCAGGGACAGCGCCCAAGCCCAGAGTTCAAACCCCACAACCGACAAAAAAAAAAAAAAGAGTCTCACAGACTTTCCTGCCTGTCCTGACTTTGAACTGTGATCCTCAGAACTCAGCCTCATGAGTAGCTAGGATTACAGGTGTGAGCCACCCATGCCTCACCTTACCTTGTGGACTTTACACTGGATAATACCCAGTATTAGATTTTTAAAAAATTATTTTGTTTTTTAATTAGTCAATTTCTGGAACTGGTCCTAAGAAAAATCTCTTTGCTAGGAGGTGAAATCATAGCTGTCAACATTGTGGGAGTTGTGGGAGCTAAGGAGGAAAAAGAACATAAATTTGTTTTCTAATTAATATGAAAATTGCCACACAGATTTATTAGAAGACAAAGACTCCTAAAAGTTATCAGCAATAATATTTTATATGACAATGGACCACTTTCCTGAAAAGAGGCTATGCAAGGTGAGCGAGTAACAAACATTACAGTTGGAAAAGTCAAATTTACATAATTAGAAACCATGATAAGTTAACAGAGAAAAGTATACTTAAAATTGGCATGGCTCAGTAAGACAGCACTTGCTTAGCATGCATGAGGCCCTGGGTTCCAACCCTAGGACCAAAAACCAAAACAACAACAAAAGAAACCTTTTTTACTAGCTCCCTCCTTCCCTCTTTCATTCTTGCGTCAGTGCTAAAGATTGAACCAAGGGCCTCATACATGCTAGGCAAGTCCAGCTCCTTTCTAATCTCAATACAATGGTACAGTTTCCTGGAATGACCAAGAACATATCACCAATAACTCATAGCTGAGATTGAAACCACATCTAACATCTTCCCCTAATGCTTAGCATGTGGCATATAATTATCATTTCTAAACTGGTGGTGCTTCTTCCATTTTAGTCCCTGTCATTGAAAACTCTTACTAAAATTCCTGCTACAAGGACAGCAACCGCAATGGCTAAAGCCATTCCACGATAGAAAATTAGCTGTCTCACGGTCAAGACATCCCCAACAGTGGGCACTGCATACTGGTTATTTTCTTCCGGTCCCATCAATTGGACAGTCTGGCTCTCTGGTCTGATGATATCAGGCAAGATCACTCCATCAGTTACTTCTCTTTCCATTCCAGGTTGATCTGTTTGTGGAGAAGAGTGGAGCATTCACTGAGCCAAGAAGGAGGGTAATACTGAAGTTCACTTGAGAATACATTATAACAAATGACCATAACCATCATCAGTCAACATATGTGAAGTTATATATTTTTTAAAATTATTTTAGGAGAACTCAGAATTTGTCTGGTCATTATAAATCTAATTGAGGCAAGACAGTGAATCTCACAAACTGAACAACTCTGGCCACATTAAGTTTCAGTCTTTATAAGGCAGGAAATACAGTATACAAGAGAATGCCCTCAATTACCTGTTTGAGTAGAAGTGGTCTCTTTATTGCCTTTTAGCCCAGCCCGAACCTGTGCCTGAAAGCAATGTCACATAAGTAAATAAAGTGTAAGTTGAGTCAAGCTGGTAGATGTTTGATAAAACTTCAATGTCCTTGGTGCTTGGGCTCATTCCTGTAATCCTAGCTATTTAGGAGGTTGAGACCTAGAGGATCACAGTTCAAAGCTAGCCTGGGCAGAAAAACCCATGAAACTTTATAAATAACCAGCAAAAAGCTGGGCTGGAGTCATGAGTTAGGCAGTAAAGCATCAGCAGAGCAAGAAAGCAGAGCAAGAGAGCAAGGCCCTGGAGTTTAAGCCCCAGAACCAGGAAAATATGTACAGCTATTGCTGAAAGGTTTACAATATCTCACATCGTCTTTCTTCATCCAAAAATGGCCACATGCCAAAAGAATATAATACCAGATCAACAGCCCCCCCCCCCGTCTCCTCCCTGCCCCCCCTGCAGTGCTCTGCTTTTAACAATAGAAAAAGTTGCCATGTAATTGCAGATCTAACATATTGTTTGCCCTTGTTCCCTTTAGTGTTCCTAAACACAGATAAAAAGAATGAAATCCAAAGGAATTAGAAATCTGAAGGGAGGTTGGTCAGAATAAGAGCTGTAACAGCTAACAGCTGGTACACCTAAATCTATTCTTCTTGTCTTCTTAAGACCCCTCCTCTGAGCCACTCACCCACCCATGTCACACAAACTCAACACAAGAAGAGCTCGCAATTCACCCACAGGTTGCTCACATATGTCAAGAACATGATTGATTCACTGTCTATACTTTGTGGTACTGCCTGTTAAATACTCCCATAGATCACAACTACTTAATACACTACTTTGTAATAAGAAGTGGACATCTGTCATCTATCTATCCAGAAAAAAATGTATATATTTATATGTATATATATTCCCAGTTATATATAATATATATATATATATATATATATATATATATATATATATACAAAACTGGGAATTGAACCTACAGCCTAATGCATGCTAGGCAGGTTCTTAACCACTCGTCAGTCCTGCGCCCTTTTTGTTTGTTTGCATTTTGCTTTTGAAATAGGATCTTACTAACTTTGCCTGGGCTGCACTCAAACTCTCAATACTCCTGCCCCTAGAATAGCTGGGATTACAGATATGTAGGCCTAAAAAATTAAAAAATATTTTTAAGAGATGCCTAGAAAAGAGTTAATTGGTAGGAAGGAATAGAAAATATGCTTCTAACACTACCATACCAAAAAAAGAAAATACATCTCGGTTCCATTTTTTTGTTTTTTAAGTTGAGTTCTTTTTAGTAGATACTAAAATCCACTCTAAATTAGGCAGAAAATGTGCTGAAATGTGATTTTCTTCTATCCCCCTCCCACTTCCTGGCATAGTAGATAGATTTCCCGATTTCCTCATATTTACCCCAAATATTCCTTACCGTGCCACGGGGTCAGGCCTACAAAATTTTTACCTGCTTTGCAACTCTACTCCAATTGGTTGTCAGGATGTACACCAAGTAGAAAAGGGCTTGAAAAAAGACGCAGACTATCAATCCAGACCACAGACCTGCGGGTGGGAAATGAGACTCAGAACTTGTTCTCTATTTTCTTCAGTCCTGCTCCCCAATCATCTATAATCCAGAGGTCAAAATTCCACTTAAGTTAACTTTCCTAAATTTTTTTTTTTTGTGGGTTGTGGGGCTTGAACTCTGGGCTTGGGCGCTGTCCCTCAGCTCTTCAGCTCAAGGCGAGCACTCTACCGCTTGAGCCACAGTGCCACTTCCGTTTTCTAGTGGTTTATTGAAGATAAGAGTCTCACGGACTTTTCCTGCCCAGGCTGGCTTTGAACCAAGATCCTCAGATCTCAGCCTCCTGAGTAGCTAGGATTACAGGCGTGAGCCACTGGCAGCCGGCCATTTCCTAAATTTTTATATAAGTATAGACCAGGAATGAGACTTAAGTGTACCACTGAGCACTGATAACTACCAATAACACAAAACAGCCCCTCAAAACTGCTTTCTGGTTTATATGATTGCCCAAAAATGTATTTACTGGTTTTTGTTTTTTGCCACATACTATTTTAAGTTCTAGAGATATATACATGAACAAGAAGACAAGATGGGAGCCTCATGGAACTTATATAAAGGCTGGAGGGACAAATAGTAGACGAGGAAACAAACATGATAATTTGAGAGTGACAGGTGTGGCATACTGCAAGAGCAGTATGATGACTACTGGCAGAACCAGAGCGGTGGCCAGGTGTCCTCTGGGGTGGAGACCTGAAGGACAAGGACAATGTTCAGGACAGGCAGAGGTGAAACAGGCCCAGAAGGGACGCAGGCCTAGAGGAGGTCAGCTTTGAGGTTCTGGAGAAGGAAGGCCAGTTAGGAAGCAGCTTGCTGACAGGGAAGTGTACAGAAAACATGACAGAGAAACAGGCCATGAATGATTCAAAGCTTACCACTTATCCAAGATCTAATGGGGACCCACAGAACTGTTTCAGACTTGTGTGTGTTTATGATGTAAGACCTGATGTGTGTATGTGTGAAGATCCTGGGACTTGACCTGCATAGGTAGGCACTGTTTCAGTTCCTGATTTTTTTTTTGTCGGTCATGGGGGCTAAACTCTGGGCCTGGGCGCTGTCCCTCAGCTCTTAGCTCAAGGCTAGCACTCTACCACTTGAGCCACAGCACCACTTCCGGCTTTTTCTGCATATGGGTTGTTAAGGAATCGAACCCAGGGCCTTATGCATGCAAGGCAAGCACTCTGCCACTGAGCACCTTCAAAGCCCCAGTTCCTGAGCTTTTTCCACTCAAGGTTAGCACGCTCACTTGAGCCACAGCACCACTTCTGATTTTTGGTGCTTAATTGGAACTAAGAGTCTCATGGACTTTTCTGCCCAGGCTGTCTTTGAACCTGAATCCTCAGATCTAAGTCTCCTGAGTAGCTAGGATTACAGGTGTAAGCCACCAGCACCCAGCAAGACGTGGTATTTCCAAAAGCTTGCTTTGAAGCAGGATGTGGTGGTGCATGACTCCAATCCCAGGACTGAAACAGGAGGGTGGAGAGTTCAAGGCCAGCCTGGGCTATACAGTGAGGCCTTGTCTGGAAAAAAACACCCCCAAACAGCCCCCCCCAAAAAAAAGAGGAAAAGGAAGAAGAGGAATTAGGGAACAAGAACAAAAGAACAAAGACAGTGCGGTAGCTCAGATATGTAATTCTAGCTACTTGGGAAGCCAATATAGGAAGATTAAACTTCCTGGTCAGCCTGAGCATAAAAGTTCCCAGGACTCCATCTGGGTATGGGATATGTGCCTGTCAACCACAGCAGCACAGGGAAACACAGAAAGAAGATCACAGTCTAAGTTGGTCTAGGCATAAAGTGAGATCCTATCTTGAAAATAACCAAGCAAAAGGGGCTGGTGATATGGTTCAAGTGGTAGTATCTACTTAACAAGTGGAAGATCTGAGTTCAAACCCCAGTACTGAAAAGACAAAAACAAAAACAGCAAGAACAGAAAAAAAAAACTAGTGATTGAACAGCAACATCTTTGGATAACTGTCTTCTTATCTAATCATGCATACATTTATTTTCAAACCAGTCAATAACTTCAGTGGCTTTTTCTAGGTCATTTAAAAGCTCCCGGACTTCGCTCAGCTGGAAGGAATGCGGGTAAAATCAAATGATGTATTTTTAAGTAGAACTTTTTCTTCTTCCTATATTGCATGACCAAACTCTAAACCTCTGAATTTGGCTCTTTATACCTTTTATATAAACTCTCTTTTCTCATGGGATTATGGCCCAAACTTGACTAAACAACAAACAAAATATGCCTGAGTAGAATCAAGTATACCAGATATTAGAACATAATAGCTATTGAGTATCTGAGAAGCAGCTATTTTGTGAAAATACAGGTCTCCAAATTTTAATGTTTGCCTGGAAGTGGAATTCTAAGTACCATTCTGAGGTGAAACTCAAGAGCATTTTCACCAGACATAGGGATGCACATCTGTTATTCCACTCAGGAAGCTGAGACAAGAGGATCAGAAATTTGAGACCAACTTGGACTACAGGATGAGACCCTATCTTAAAAAAAATTCCCTAAGGGAGCAATAAGGTATGTAAAGGCTAGGGGCTTGTGGCTCACACCTGTAATGCTAGCTCTTTTGGGGGTTGAGATCTGAGGATTGTGGTTCATAGCCAGACAAATAGGCAGACAAATCTGAGAGATTCTTATCTGCGATTAACCAGCAAAAAGTCAAAAATGGAGATGTAGCTCAAGTGGTAGAGGGCCAGCCTTATGTGGAAAAAACCAAATGAGTACACCAGGCTCTGATTTCAGGGTCTGAGTTCATATATGCCCAAGGTCAAAGCAAATGTTACTGGAGGTAATAAATGTTAAGTGCCATTGCCACAGTCACTATAAGCTCCTATCTTATTTCAAGTGGGAGGAACCACTCATAATATGAAGGATATTACAGCAGCTATTCAGACTTGGCAGTGTGACTGATGCAGTCCTTGAATCTGGGTGAGGAGGCAAAAGAGTGATGTTGGAAGACCTGGGAATGCATAGAACAGCTGGAAGGGCACAGGCAGGAAGTCAGGTCATAGATAAGGGCCTACACATCATCAGCTTGAAGGAAAGGTAACATTCCAGGAGCTGAAAGAAGAAAAGTGTTAAAGGCCAAGAGAGGAATGAAAACAAGGAGCAGAGTATTAATCAGGAGATAGAGATCTTTCTTGTCTGTCGTTATGTTCCCAGACTCTAATGCAGCACCATCCAGTCTGATGTGTGGAGGTGTTCAGTGAACATGCTAAGAAAATGAGGGAATTTCAATCCACAGTTGTAGCTAGCATGTAAGGCTCCTGGATCAAAGCACATAGGTTCAAAGACAGCCTCAGCCCTTATTACCTGTGGGATGTTGAACAAATTCCTTAACTCAGATTTTTAATTTTATTATTTTTTGATATTGTATCCTTTAATGTAGATTGTAGTTTCTGGTTTTTTTTTTTTACATGATACATTTTCATCTTAAAATACCCATAGATTGCCCTCAAGACCCACCAGGGATAACAATACCAGCCAACGCTCATGTCCCTTATATAAAATGGTGTAGTATTTGCATATAACCTGTGCACATCTTTCCATAAACTAAATCATCCTCAGATTACTTGTAATTCAATGCAATGCACACATTTTATGTGTGTGGATTCAGCATAATACTCTGCATGTGGAAATTTTCAATTTCACTTTTTTGAACTTTTTGGAATTAGTTTAAAAACATTTTGTTGCCAGGCACCACAAACCCAGGTGGCTCACGCCTGTAATCCTATCTACTCAGGAGGCTGAGATCTGAGAATCACAGTTCAAAACCAGCCTGGGAAAGAAAGTCTAGGAGACACTTATCTCCAATTAACCACAAGAAAACCGAAAGTCGAGCTGTGGCTCAAAGTGATAGAGCGCTAGCCTTGAGCAAAAAAGCTCAGAGGCAGCATCCAGGCCCCAGAGTTTAAACCCCACAACCAAAAACACACAATTTTTTTTTGTGGTACATGCTTGGTAGGGTCCACAGATAAGTAACCCACTGATAGAAAATCAACTTTTTTTTTTCTGCTTATGTGGTGCTGGAACGAATCCAGGGCTTCTTGCATGCAAGGCAAGCACTCTACCACTGAGCCACCTTCCCAGCCCTGAAAAACAACTCTCTACTTACTCCTATCCTCTTACTTTCAGTTTGTACCTTTAAAAATAAATTTTTGTGATACTATAGGGATCAAAACCAGGTAGGCATTGTGCATACCAGGTGTATCTTAACCCTTGAGTATCTTGAATCTAAAGAGTGACTTCTGTGGACATTGTAGAACTGGATGTTTTTTCGTTACACTTAATGCTATTATTGATGTAGTTGGATTTACATCTATTTTATTCTCTTCTATTCTTACATTAGCTGTGTGAGTTTCACTGTGACATTTCCATATATGCATATGATGTCTCCCAATCAAACCCATCCCCTCTATCCTTCTCTTCCTTAGCTTCGCTCATTCATTCTCATTCAATCTCCATTTATCCACCCCTTTTCACTGGTATCAATTGCAACATGGTATCACCAGAGGCTATATGCTGTCACAAATGTATTAATCTTTTAAATTTTTAACTAATTTGAGTCAGGTAAGTGGTATTGTCCTACTAAGTATCTGGGCCATGTGTGTGAACTGTCTCCAAATGGGGAGGGAACCATTTTTAATTTTTTTTGTTTTTTGTTTTATTTTTTGTCGGTCGTGGGGCTTGGGTGCTGTCCCTCAGCTCTTCAGCTCAAAGCGAGCACTCTACCACTTGAGCTACAAAGCCACTTCACCATTTTAAATTTTTTAATGCATAAAAATGAACTAATGTGAGAACCCTATCTTACTTTGATATCATAAATTGAAGTGACATTATGTGATTAGAGGATCTACTATAGTGTTTTGTTTTGTTTTGTTGTGTCACTGAGGTTTGAACACTTGCTGAAGTGGCATGCTAACTCTTGAGCCATACCTCCAAACTTGTTTTTGGTTGGTTATTTTGGAGATGGAGTCTAGTGGATTTTTTTTTTTTTTTGGCCTCCCACTCATCTGTAGATGGGCATCTTGGCTGATTCCCTAGGTTCTGGAAGATGACTGTTGTACAGAGTGCTGCAAGGGACATGATTGTACAGATTTTTTTTGGGGGGGTCCGGTCATCGGGTCTGAACTCTGGGCCTGGGCGCTGTCCCTCAGCTCTTCAGCTCAAGGCTAGCTCTCTACCACTTGAGCCACAACACCACTTCCGGCTTTTTTCTTTTTGCTTATGTGGTGCTGAGGAATCGAACCCCAGGGTCTCATGCATGCAAGGCAAGCACTCTACCACTGAGCCACCTTCCCAGCCCCTTGTACAGGTATTTCTATCCATCAATCAATTTGTCCCAGAATGACAAGTGAGGTTAGACAAGTGACTGAGGAATCGAACACATACCTATTATTCCAAGCTTAGCTGCAAACATCAGGGACACTCCAATGGGAAAACCGAACACATAGTAGCCAATGGCATTTAGGATGGCGCCTATCTTTTGTTTCCCTGTACCTCTCAGAACACCACCACAGGTGCCCTGAGGAGAGAAAAGTCAACACCAGAACTGTAGTCACAACTCTCATGGCCTCAAAACAGCAGCCCACAGATCTGCAGGTGCTCAGCTACTTCTGTCTCAAAGTGTACATAACTCATTGCATACGACATAAAGCAAAGTGTTCTGCTTTGAAAGTTATGTTGACAATCACCAAAGTACAGCAGCTTTAATCAGAAAACTGTCAAGTAACTTATACAGGGGCGAGGTGGTTGGAAGGGGAAAAACTGGGAGAAAATGAGGGAAGAGATAATACTGTTGCAAAAGAAATATACTCATTACCTGATATAACTGCAACCCCTCTGTATATCAACTTTATAATAACAATTTTTTTTTTTTGTTGGTCGTGGGGCTTGAACTCTGGGCCTGGGCGCTGTCCCTCAGCTCTTCAGCTCAAGGCGAGCACTCTACCACTTGAGCTACAGTACCACTTCCAGTTTTCTGGTGGTTTATTGGAGATAGAAGTCTCACGGTCTCTCCTGCCCGGGCTGGCTTTGAACCGCAATCCTCAGATCTCAGTCTCCTGGGTAGCTAGGATTACAGGCGTGAGCCACCCGGCTTATAATAACAATTTTTTAAAAAGAAAAAAAAACAAGGTAACCCTATTCAAATCGCTGACTAGCTTAGCCTAGTTTTAAATGTTTATTAAAAGAATGCAAGGTTTCATGCATGGTATCTCAGCAGAAATTAGTCTGAAATTATGGCTGAAGAACATGAATACAATTCTGGGCTTCTTTTTCACGCTACTCCTCCTGCCGCTGTATTTAATCTTGACTACCACTGCCGCTTTATCGTATATGGAGAAACTGGAAGAAATTCCATGGGAGGTAAAAAGTAAAATGACAAGTGTGCCTGGAAATCATGTCATAAAGAATATTTCCTTGCTTAACCTGGATGACTGAAATGTAGGCAAAGGGTCTTTCTTTTCTTTTTTCTTTTTCTTTTTTCTTTTTTTTTGGTGCCAGTCCTGGGGCTTGATCTCAAGGCCTGGGTGCTATCTCTGAAACTTTCTCATTCAAGACTGGTGCTCTATCACTTGAGCGATGACTCCATTTCTCCCATCTTGGTGGTTAATTGGTGATACGAGTTTCATAGACTTTGCTGCCCCGGCTAGCTTTGAAGCTCAGTCCTCAGTTCTTGGCCTTCTGGATTACAGGTGTGAGCCACCAGTGCCAGAGGTCTAATTGGTCTTTAAAACTGTAAATCCAGAAGACCAGTCTAAAAAGGGGCCTTGTGGCAGCCAGAGTGGACTCATAGGTATGGTGACATACCTGGGAAGTTCCAGCAGAAGTTGCCTCACTTCTTGGCCCAGATAAACCTAGAGAAGATGGAGAACTTGAGTCTCCTCCACCTGGAGAGGCTACAGTCAAGTGCTTCATCTTTCCCTTAAGTACTCAGGCTGTAAGAGGAAAGAGCTCATGCTTTTAAAAATAAAATCGCATTTGATTTTTAATTAAAAGCTAGAGACATAAAACACATTTGCTGTGTAGATCAGGATAAAATTACTGTGAACTCACTGCAAGTGCATCAAACAGATGGAAGGGAGCAAAAATTGGCATCACTCTGCACACAAGGGAAATGATGTCCCTGTTGGAGGAAAGGAAAGTGTCAATAACTTCAAAATCAGAAACCTGGCAGTGCAGTTCAACAGTACATTCCTTTTGGACAAAAATACATAATAAACTCACATGCATTCATAAAAAGAGACATAGTCTGGGCTGGCATTATAGAGGACATTTTTTTTTTGAGGAGGTAAGGTCTTATTATGTAGTATGGCCTTGGAACACTCAATCCTCTTGCCTCAGCCTCCTGAGTGCTGGGATGGCAGGTGTATAGCAACACATCTGACTTAAAGGATAATTCTCTCTTGCTTTTTAAAATAGTGGGACTGAAGTTTGAACTTAGAGCTTCCTGCCTTCCAGGCAAGTGCTTTACCACTTGAGCCAAGACCCCAAACTTTTTGTCTTAGCTATTTTTCATGTAGGAAAAGAGTTCAGCTTCAAATGAGAAAAGATGTCCTCTGAATCAACAGTGTTAGGAAATAGCAAGGTCTTCATCACTGAAGTGATGGAAGTTGTGCAATGGCAGGGATTGGGTGTGAATGTTGTCAGTGTGCCCTGCACTCGATGGGCACCTCTCCAAGGAGAAGAGTTTTCCCCATGGCTTTCTGTGGGTCTCTGCGCAAAGCTCTGCTAGGCCTGATGAATCGATGGAGGAGGAGGAGTGCAGATGCTTTCTTCACTCCAACTCCTTCCAGTTTAGCACTGTGCTGCTCACTCCTACCTGCTCTACAGGCTTTCCTGTGAAACAAAGGGACACTCTCCTCCGTGGGAAGATATAGTGAAGAAAGAAAGCAGACAGCCTTCTCCAGGACTACCTACTTGTCACTGGTGAATACATAGGCGACCACATCCTTCAAGGCTGCTAGTAAAACTCCCACGGCAAGTGCACAGACACCTGGGAAATATATAAGGAATAAGAGGGAATGACAGCTCTCCAGAGGCCCAGAGATCCTATGAGAGATTTGTATCAGTGATTTAGATGAAGAACAAGTAAACTCAGCTCTGACAAACATTGTTGAGAGCACACTCCGGGTTCAGTCACTTTCCAAAGAGCACACTTCCCAGTGCTATCATACTGGATTAAATTTCCACCTGAATGTTGGAGAGAATAACAACATTCAAACTACAGCAATTGACATAATACTCAAGTTCTTTCCTGAGTGTCCCCTAGAGAGAGGAGTCAGAATCACCAAATCTTAGTTGTCCTTGTCACAGACAGTAAAAAGTAAAAACAGGTCGGGTGCTGGTGGCTCATGCCTGTAACCCTAGCTACTCAGGAGGCTGAGATCTGAGATCACAGTTCAAAGCCAGCCCAGGCAGGAAAGTCCGTGAAACTCTTATCTCCAATAAACTACCAGAAAACCAGAAGTGGTACTGTAGCTCAAGTGGTAGAGTACTAGCCTTGAGCTGAAGAGCACAGGGACAGCAGTCAGGCCTAGAGTTCAAGCCCCATGACCGACAAAAAAAAAGTAAAAACAGTAAAAAAAAAAAAAAAGACAAACCAACAACAACAAAAACCCAAACACTATAACATGATTTAAGAAATGTGCTGGGGCTGGGAAGGTGGCTCAGTGGTAGAGCACTTGCCTTGCATGCCTGAGGACCTGGGTTCAATTCCTCAGCACCACATAAGCAAAAAGAAAAAAGCCGCAAGTGGCGTTGTAGCTCAAGTGGTAGAGCGCTCGCCTTGAGCTGAAGAGCTGAGGGACAGCGCCCAGGCCCAGAGTTCAGGCCCCATGACCGGACCCCCCCCCAAAAAAAAAAGAAATGTAAGGAGTGGAGTGTGGTGGCTCATACCTATAACCCTAGCTATTTAGGAGGCTGAGATCTGCGGAGCAATAGTTCAAAGCCAGCCCCTGGCAGGAAAGTCTATAAGACTTATCTCCAACTTACCAGCAAAAAGACAGAAGTGGAGGTGTTGCTCAAGTAGTTGAGCGCCAGCATTGAATAATAATAATAATGTTTTAAAAAGCAAAGGGACAGCATCCATAGTGCCCCTTCAAGCTTTGACCCTCACCTCTCAGTCTCCTGTAGTTGGGGGCTACTTGGGAGGGGGATGCAGGAGATTGCTAGAGCTCCCAAGTTAAGACTGAGCAACAGAGTGTGGCCCTGTTTTAAAGAAATGTTATAGTGTTTATTGTCTGTGACAAGGACAACTAAGATTTGGTGATTCTGACTCCTCTCTCTAGGGGACACTCAGGAAAAGAATTTGAGTATGATGTCAATTGCTACAGTTTAAATGTTGTTATGCTCTCCAACATTCAGGTGGAAATTTAATCTTCAGTGCAACAGCACTGGGAAGTGTCCTCTTTGGAAATTGACTGAACCTGGAGGGCTTTTGCCCTCATGAATGGATCAGTGTGCTCTCAACAATGAGTTTGTCAGAGGGAGTTCACTCCCACTTCACCTCCTTCCCCTCTGCCCTGGGAGGAAACATGGTCAACTGCTCAACCTTTCAGGAGGGGGCACATTAAACCACCATCTTGGAAGCAGTGGGCAGTCCTCACCAACTGCTCAGACTTGCTGTTGCCTAGATCTTGGACTTCCCAGCCTGTAGTGCTGTGAGAAATACAATTTTGCTTCTTATAAGTTACTTCACTTCAGGTATTCTGTTATAGGAGTACAGATTAAAGACTTGACTACTTCAGAATCTTTTCTTAACTGCTTAGATTCCAAGATATTGGGATGGCCAGAGCAGATTCAGGGTCATAGAGAACTGGTCACTCAGATTATGGCCATAAAATAAGACTATATTTGATAATCTGCTTTTAAAATTATTTCAGTAATGCCAATCATGTTATTATTTACTTGGTATGTGGCACTAGAAGATCTATTTAACTCAGTAAATTAGAAAGAGCCTAAACTGAGTATCAGCTGTACAGGAGACTGAGATCTGAGGATTGTGGTTTGAAGCCAGTCCAGTCAGGAAAACCCATGAGACTCTTATCTCCAATAAACTCAGAAAAAGCTGGAAGTGGTGCTGTGGCTCAAGTAGTAGAGTGCTAGCCTTGAGCAAAAAGAAGCTCAGGGGGCTGGGAAGGTGGCTCAGTGGTAGAGTGCTTGCCTTGCATGCATGAGACCCTGGGGTTTGATTCCTCAGCACCACATAAGCAGAAAAAGCCAGAAGTAGTGGTAGAGTGCTAGCCTTGAGCTGAAGAGCTGAGGGACCAGTGCCCAGGCCCAGAATTCAGGCCCCATGACCAACCAAAACAAATAAAGAAGAAGAAGAAGAAGAAGAAACTTGGGACAGAGCCCAGGTCTAGTGTGCATGCCCCAGGACTGGCAAAAAAAAAAAAAAAGCACCTAAAGAATAAAGGTTTAGGGAGAGAGAAGTGGTGGGAGTTGTGGTGGGGGGAGAGAATGTCTCAATTCTGACATGTTGATTTTAACTTATCTCAGTAAGTCCAGTATGGAGGCCAGGGAGGAGAAGGGCTTTGCTTACCAGCACACAAGACAACAGTAGTACAGGCACATTGGGCCTGTTCAGCATTCCCTGCCCCCAGAGCATTACCCACTCGGACACTGGCAGCCACTCCAAAGCCATGGGGCACCTGCAAATTAACAATCAGAATTCACAATTAAGAAAACATGAGCACTAGAGCACTTGGGTACAACTACATGAAAACTCCAGACAGAATCAACGACCTGGGTTCTATTACAGATGCTAGTACATCCTGCCTGTGAGACAGGAAAGATATTGCTCTGTCTCCTTCAACCCATTTCTTCCCTGGTGACGAGGGCAGCACTGCCCAGCTGCCCACTACTGCATGTGAGCCAGAGCAGAGCTTCTTGAAAAACCTGGTTTGGTAAAACACATCTCTTTCTTTAGTGGCTACACAGACTATCACCACTTAATCAACCCAACTCCATTTTGCGGGTAAGATTTAGTTTAATAGAATATACACAGTATCTATTAAAATTGAAGGAATTACTTTAAAAAGCTCTTAGGACACAGACTGGAACTCTGTAGGGACTCAGGAAAGTCCATACCCATCCTGAATGGTGGGATGGGAGATATATCTTATTTGTCTGATGATTCACTCAGCTGAAATGGGGTCTTTCAAGTAACAATTATTTTCTTTTAGTTTTGGTAGTACTGGTCACATGTAAAAACAATTATTGTTGGGGCTGGGAAGGTGGCTCAGTGGTAGAGCGCTTGCCTTGCATGCATGAGGCCCTGGGTTCGATTCTGCAGCACCACATAAGCAGAAAGAAAAAAGCCGGAAGTGGCACTGTGGTAGACTGCTAGCCTTGAGCTGAAAAGCTGAGGGACAGCATCCAGGCCCAGAGTTCAGGCTCCACGACCGGACCCCCTCCGCCACCCCCCCACAAAAAAATACAAAACAATTATTGTTTAAGGAAATCTAAAGCTATGCTTTTTTTTTTTTCATTGGTCTTGGGGCTTAAACTCTGGTGCCTGGGATCTGTCCTTTAGCTCTTTGGCTCACAGTGCCACTTCTGCTTTTCTGGTGGCTAATTGGAGATAAGAGTCTCATGGACTTTCCTGCCCCAGCTGGCTTTGAACTGGGATCCTCAGATCTCAGCCACTGGTGCCCGGCCTAAAAGCTATGCTTCTTTATCTCTTTTTCTTTTTCCTTTCTTTCTTTCTTTCTCCCTCACTTTCTTTTTGTTCCTTCCTTCCTTCTTCTTTTTCTTTTTTTCTCTTTCCTTTCTTCCTTTCTCTTTCCCTTTCTCTCTCCTTTCCTTCCTTTCTTTCCTTCTTTCTTTCTCTCCCTTTCTTTCTTTCTTCCTTTTTTCTTTCTTTCATCTTTCGTTCTTCCTTCCCTTCCTTCCTTCCTTCTTTCCTTCCTTCCTTTCTTTCTTCCTTTCCTTCTTCCTTTCTTCATTTTCTTTGATGCTAGTCCTGGAGCTTGATCCTAGGCACTGTCCCTGGACTTTTAAACTCTAGGCTAGTACTCTACCACTTGAACTACAGCTTCACGTTTGACTTTTTAATGGTTAATCGGAGATAAGAGTCTCACAGACTTTCCTACCTGACTGTCTTTGAACAGGGTTCCTCAGATCTCAGCCTCCTGAATAGCTAGAATTACAGATGTAAGCCACTGGTGCATATTTGCTTCTTAAATAGACTATCATTCAACCTTCAGGGATTCATGTTCTTCAATTCTTATTTTTCAACAAAGTACTGCTCTTCGTTTGGGTAATATGGGTTGTTTAAACACAGCTTTAATTTAGGCTCTCTGTTTTTAATATTAAAAGATTTTAATTCTACTATAAAAATAGAATAGATACATTAACTGAAAATTCTCACTCTGCTAGAAGCAGCCTTCTCCTCAAAGCCTAATAGGTTATTGTCTTGAAAATAGCCTGAATTAATAAAACTACATACTAAACTGTTAAGATTAAGAATCTGAGACTCAGTACAATGCCTCACATCTATAAAGACAGCTACTTAGGAGGCAAAGATTGGGAGAATAGTGAGTTGAGGCCAACTAGTAGAAAAAAGTTAGTGAGATTCCGACTACAAGCCCCAGTATCACACATCCAAAAACAGAACTTGAAAAATAGACAATTATGAGGGGGGGAAAGCCTAACAAAATATCAAGGCTTTGAGTTCAAGCCCTAGAACTGGCACACACACACAAAATCCAGTATATACTTTTTATGTGTGTGTGCCGGTACTGGGGCTTGAACTCAGGACCTGGATGCTATCCCTGAGCTCTTTTGCTCAAGGCTAGCGCTCTACCACTTGAGCCACAGATCCACTTCCAGCTTTTTGGTGGATAATCAGATATATGAGTCTCACAGACTTTCCTACCTGGGCTGGCTTCAAACCACAGTCCTTGGGCTGGGAAGGTGGTTCAGTGGTAGAGCGCTTGCCTTGCATG